GTGCCGGCAGGTGACCCAGAGCCACCGGGGCCGGTTCCGGTGTCGCCGCTGCCGCCCAAGGCCGCGCTGTCCCGAGACGAGATCCTGCGCTACAGCCGGCAGCTGGTGCTGCCCGAGCTGGGCGTGCAGGGGCAACTGCGCCTGGCCGCCGCGTCCGTGCTGGTCGTGGGCTGCGGTGGGCTCGGCTGCCATCTGGCGCAGTACCTGGCAGCGGCCGGCGTGGGCCGCCTGGGCCTCGTGGACTACGACGTGGTGGAGACGAGTAACCTGGCCCGCCAGGTGTTGCATGGCGAGGCACTGGCTGGCCAGGCCAAGGCCTGGGCGTGCAGGGGCAACTGCGCCTGGCCGCCGCGTCCGTGCTGGTCGTGGGCTGCGGTGGGCTCGGCTGCCATCTGGCGCAGTACCTGGCAGCGGCCGGCGTGGGCCGCCTGGGCCTCGTGGACTACGACGTGGTGGAGACGAGTAACCTGGCCCGCCAGGTGTTGCATGGCGAGGCACTGGCTGGCCAGGCCAAGGCCTTGTCGGCCGCCGCCTCGCTACGCCGCCTCAATTCAGCCGTGGAATGCGTGCCCTACGCTCTAGCGCTTACGCCGGCCACGGCGCTAGACCTGGTCCGCCGCTATGACGTGGTGGCCGATTGCTCCGACAACGTCCCTACTCGCTACCTGGTTAACGACGCCTGCGTGCTGGCCGGCCGCCCTCTAGTGTCTGCCAGCGCCCTGCGCTTCGAGGGCCAGATCACAGTCTATCACTATGACGGGGGGCCGTGCTATCGCTGCGTGTTCCCCCAGCCCCCGCCAGCGGAGACGGTGACCAATTGCGCGGATGGCGGGGTGCTCGGTGTCGTCACTGGAGTCCTGGGCTGCCTGCAGGCCTTGGAAGTGCTGAAGATCGCTGCGGGCATGGGCCCCTCCTACAGTGGCAGTCTGTTGCTCTTTGACGCCCTCGGAGGGCATTTCCGCTGTATCCGGCTGCGGCGCCGCAGGCCTGACTGTGCAGCGTGCGGGGAGCGGCCCACTGTGACCGACCTGCAGGACTACGAAGCCTTTTGCGGCTCCTCAGCCACGGATAAGTGCCGCTCCTTGCAGTTACTGAGCCCGGAGGAGCGAGTTTCTGTCAGTGACTATAAAAGACTTCTGGATTCTGGGACACCCCACCTGTTGCTGGACGTCAGACCTCAGGTGGAGGTGGACATCTGTCGTTTGCCTCACGCCCTGCACATCCCTTTGAAACATTTGGAACGGAGGGATGTGGACAGCATGAAACTCCTGGGAGAAGCAATCCGGGCAGGGAAGCGTGGCACACAGGAAGGTACTTCTCTCTCCATCTACGTGATTTGCAAACTGGGAAATGACTCCCAGAAAGCCGTGAAGATCCTGCAGTCTTTAACAGCAGTTCAGGAGTTGGACTCTTTAACAGTTCAAGATGTGGTTGGGGGTCTCATGGCCTGGGCAGCCAAAGTCGATGGAACATTTCCACAGTACTGAGGTGACTGGAATAATGAGGAGAGAAAGATGGTAGAATGTCTTAATACCTCAAAGACAGATTTACTTACTTTCTTTTTTTTTTTTTTTAAGTAATATAGAGAAAAGTTTGGGATTGTACAGTATCTGTGAATACACAGGCTCCTTTTTATAAGGAGCTCTTTGATTGTAGTGTATTGGATTTATTAATGGATTATAATACTGTTTCTGAGAATCGTCTTCTGGTTTCAGCTTTTTTAAAAAAATATTCTTTTTAAGTTTGCTGTAGGGCATATGTGAGAAAGAGCCGGAGAAGAAAAATTAAAAAGCCACCAGGTGCAGGACTCAAACCATGGTTGGCCATGTGAAGTCCAGCACCTTAACCACTATGCCACCTGCTGACACTTGTTTTCAGCTCTTAAAGGTGTCTTGAACATGTGAAGCATAATATGGCAGGATTTTGTATTTTAACTGCAGATCATTTACTTGTCCTGCATTTTTTTCCATCTTCCCCAATCAAAAGCTAAGTCATCATTTTATGCCTGGAATTAAGATGTGGTAAGTGTAGTCTTAGCATAGTGATCACAGATGATATATTTAGGGTCAGCTAATTAAGACATTCTTTAGGTTTCATTTCTACTTCAAATTGTAGAATATGTCTTGGAGAAGTGTTTTAACTTGGCTTCAGAATCCAACTTTTGTTATATACATGTAACATTTTCTAACCTGTCTACTGTGGTTTGGCTTGCTTGAGGATCTTAAAGACCAAGTGCCAACCTTTTGCCCTTCTCCTTTAATTTGATTTTAGTTTGATTTAATCTGCCAACATTTTACAGCTGTATAAAATGAAGATTTAAAAAAATAATTATTTATTTGACTTTATTTGTTATTAATTATTACTTGTTTAATTTGACCAGAAGAGAGAAAGGGAAAGTAAGAAAGCAAGCTGCCAGGTCTGGGAATTGAACTGTGGTCAGCCATGTGGGAGTCCAGCGCCTTAACCGTCATGCCATCTCCTGGCCCCAGTGTTTTTATGTTTTAATGTTGAATATTTTAACGAAATGGTAGGTGGCCTGCCTAGCTTCCAATATATACAACAAAATTAAAAATAAACATTTAGGGGACCAGCAGATGGTGTAATGGTTACACTGTGGGACTCCCATGTAGTCAACTACAGTACGCGTCCTGGACCTGGCAGCTTAAACTTCACACCGATGTGTGTGCGTGCATGCCTAAGATCCCGAGAGGAGGGTAGAGGAGAGGGGATTGCAGCTTGGCCATCCCCCCCGAGGGTGGATTTTTCACTTTCTGTCTCTCTGTCTCTGGTGAGTGCATGTACCCTATAGCAAAAATCTCTTTTAAAAAAAGTAAACGGGGGTCCAGCAGTTAGCGTAATGGCTATGTCGCTGGACTCCCATGTAGCCAACTGCGGTTTAAGTCCCGGACCCGGTGGCTTAAACTCATGCCAGGCGCGTGCGCATACGTGCCCAAGATCCTGAGAGGAGAATGGAGCAGAAAGGATTGCGGTGTGGCCATCCCCCCTGGGGGGGGCGGTGATTTCTCACTTTCTATCTCCCCGTCTCTCTGTTTCTCTGGTGACCACATGTGCCCTACAGTAAAAACCTCAAAAACAAACAAACAAAGTAAACGGTGTGTGAGTGCATACTGGTTAGTTGAAGAACATGGGGCTTAGCTAAAGAGGTTGTGCTCTCCAGTGCTTGTCGTATGAATGCCCATGATCGTCAGATTTAGTTTTTTCTTGAGAAAAGCAAAAATCAGATGTAACTGTGAAGTCTTTCTATCTCTGCAAGAAAGGAAAAACTAACCAAAACTGTGGGCCAGACAGAACCCTCAGCAGGCCAGATTTATTCACCAGTTTGCAACCTCTGTTATGAACTCTCATTTTATGACAAAAGTGTATCATTTAACATTCCAATTTGAAATTAATATAGTCATTACTTTTAACTGTGAAAAACTGTAGCTCATTCTTTGGATGGGTATACTTCAGAGTATGGTAAACTCTTCTGTTCCAGAGATGGAACGGGCTTCTTATGATTGCTTCTCTCGGGGGTTATGGAAATAAATGAATGATACCTGGAGTGAACAAAGGTGGTTGTCCTGTTCTTTCAGCTCCTTGTTCAGGAAAAACTGATTCTGATTCATATCAGGAAACAGCCCATAGGTAGGCACAAGGACACATTCACATTGTGAAGACTTAGGTCCTAAAGTTAGGCAGTTGAACTTCCTGCACACCCTGTTGCTGGGGCCAGGCAACAGAAGCTGATTGGAGTGGAAAGAGCCTATTAAAATGATTGGAAATGCTTTTGAGAATTTTGAGGACAGACTCAAGACTGTCCTTCCAGAAGTGATGCCACAAATCATGCATGTAGCTGACCCCGTGAGAACACTGTCTGCCATGCAGCCTCATCAAGGACAGAGAAAATTGCTGTCATAGCCTCTCCAGTCTCACTTGACCTGGCCCCTTCTGCTTCCAGAAAGTCCAGCACTTGAGCTTCAGCCCACGTGGCTCATGGCAGTGTCACTTACGTTGTTATTTCTGGTCAGTTTTACGAGGGTATCTGGTAGGCAGAACCTAGTCATATGTGTACATCCCAGCTGTAAGAGAAGAGGACTTGAGTTCTGACTTCTACAACAGAGGCAGAATTCATGGGCCAACACCATGGTTTAGTGGCAAAGGGAGCCGGATTTCACATGATCAACTGTAATTCAAGTCACAGCCCAGAGTCTTGAAAAACATGCTAGAGGGGCCAGCAGGTGGCGTAGTGGTTAAGGTACTGGACTCACACATGGTCAGTTGCAGTTGGAGACCCTAACTTGGTGGCTTGAAATTCATGCCAGGTATGTGTGTACACATGTCCAAAGTCCTGAAAGGAGAATGCAGGAGAAGGGGTTGCAGCATGGCCCTCCCCCCAGGAGGGTGATTTCTCACTTTCTGTTTCTCTGTCTCTGTCTCTCCAGCAAGCACACATGCTCTATAGCAAAACATCTCTCAAAATAGAAAAGAAAAGCATGCTGGCTGTGTTCGCGTGTGCCCCAGATCCTGACAGGTTGGAGAAATAAAGGATCAAGGGTTGCAGCCTGGTCATGCTATACTGGTGGGGGAGAGCACGTTCTCTTTTGCACCTTGTGGCATTAAAAGAGGCAATGTTCTTGATGTGGAATTTTCCTATTAAGGATTTTAAAAAAATTCATTTATTTCAATTTTACCAGATAGAGACACAGAGAGAGAAAGGGAAAGTGAAAAGGCAAGCCACCAGATCCAGGACTCAAACCGTGGTCAGCCATGTGGGAGTGTCCAGTGCCTTAACCATCATGCCACCTGCTGGCCCCCAAGGATTTTTTTTCAAAAAGTGAGCTGTTAAGAATATGACAGGTTGAGACCAGCAGATGGCATAATGATTACGTTGCTGGACTGTGGTTTCAATCCCAGACCCGGCAGCTTAAAACCCAAGACAGGCATGTGTGTGTGCATGCCCAAAATCCAAGAGGAGAATGGAGGAGAAGGGATTGTGGTGTGACCATCCCTCCTGGGGGGTGATTTCTCACTTTCTTTCCCTCTGGTGAGCACACATGCCCTATAACAAAAATCTCTCAAAAAAAAAGAGAAAAGAATATGACAGGTTGGGCTGACTCAGTGATGCAGTGGTAATGCACTGCTCAAAACAGCTGTATCTCATGTGGCAACTGGGGCTCGAATCCCCAGTCAAGTCAGCCTGACACATGCCAGGCTCACATAAGTACCCAAGATCCAATAGGCTGGAAGACTGGAGGAGTGGCACTGAGACCTGTGGAGGGTGCGTCTCTGTCTCTACTGTGCATGCACATGTGCTCTTAGGAATAAAGAAAACATTTTTTTTTCTTCGACTAAAAAAAGAATTATGACAGATAATCAGTACCCAACCCAGATCATTCTTTAAAATTCTCTTTTCTCTGGCAATTGTGATTAGGTGTTTACATTGAAGTGGGATTTGAACTTAAGCGCTAGGATAAAAATGGACAAGAGGTTTCTTGTCATGAGTTTACATTTAAATGGGAGAGACAAACCATCAAGTCAATTAGTGATAAGTGCTATTAAAGAAATGAAACGGATGTATTGGGATGATGAGAGAGGATCTGTTTTGGACAGGTTAATTTGGGGAAGCCTCTTGGGACGCGACATTAAATTCAAACCTGGGTGATGGGAAGGAGCCACTTATGAAAGACCTAGAAAACAGTCCTATCCTGGGAGAGAAAAATGTGTAAGGACCTGAGGCCAATAGAACAAATGGAATGTTCGAGACACTGAGAGGTAAATTGGGTTGTGAACAATTGGGGGAAGTGCAGCAGGGTGAGGTTTGAGAGGCTGGGAAGAGATCATACATGCTGCAGGCCGTAACAGGGGTGTGGCTTTTGTTTTTTTAAAAGAATTATTTATTTAATTTTTAAATTTTCTCATTTATTTTTGGAGAGGTTTTTGCCATAGGGCGTGTGTGCTTGCCAGAAAGACAGGCAGAGACAGAGAGACAGAAAACGAGAAACCACCCCCCATGGGGGACGGCCAACAATACCAAAATAAAAACAAAAACAAAACCCAACTGACGTGGATCTTTTTAAATTTGGCAGATATGAGTGTGTGTGTGTGGTGGTGGTGGTGGGGGGGATGTAAAGCCACTGAAATAATTTTTTAACACCCATATTTTGTGGTTTTCATTTGTATTTATAGGCTAGTCACCATAGAATGATTATAATAACTATGAGTAATCTAATATGTACACCAGAAATCTTAAGAAAAAAAGAACAAAGTAAAAATGTTGACAAAAAGAAATCTGTAGAATTCGATCACCGCAAAAAAATTAGTCTATTGAGCCAGGATTATAAGTTTGACATACTGTGTGTTAATGGACAAAGCCTGCCTAGTGGGTGGTCCACAATTTTCACTCACTCAGTGCACCCACATTCACACCCCTCTCCACTGTTCTCTGTAAAAGGGAAGAGCAAGTGGGCCTTCCCTCTCCGCAAAGTTGCCTTTGGGCAGCGAGTAGCATACTGGTTAAGGCAGCTGGGTCCCAAATGGCTGACTGCACCATTTAAGTCCTGGACCCAGAGGCTTGAAAAATAAGCCAAGTGTGTGGACATATGTGCCCAAAATCCCAAGAGGAGAATGGAGGAAAAGGGATTGTGGCATGGCCATCCCCCCTCAGGGTGCTTCCTAACTTTCCCTCTTTCTCTCTAATGAGGTTACACGCCCTATAACAAATTTTTTTTAAAAATTGCCTTTATTGGGGCCAGCAGATGGCATAGTGATTGTCACTGGACTCCCATATGGCTGACCATGGTTCGAGTCCCAGACCTGGTGGCTTGAAAATCATGCCAGGAGCATGTGTGTGCATGCCCAAGATCCTGGAAGGAGAAGGAAGGAGAGGGGAATTCCAACCGGGGCATCCCCCTAGGGGGTGATTTTCACTTTCTCTCTCCACTGGCGAGCGCATGCACCTTATGGCAAAAACCTCTCAAAAAAATTGCCTTTATTTTTGCTGCCAAAGAGTGATATACAAAGACTCTTTGGAACATTTTATTAAAATAATTTTATCAGGCAAGCAGGTGGCGTGATGGTTAAGGCAGATGGACTCCCATGTGACTGAGCGTGGTTCAAGTCCTAGACCTGGCAGTTTGTTTTTTCACTTTCCTTCTCTCTCTTTGTCTCTCTCTGGTCAAAACACAAACAAACAAAAAACAAACAAACAAGTAATGACAATAAATAAAATTAAATAAAATAATTCTTTATAAAGTAATTTTATCAAAAGACTTTTAGGATAATTTATTAATCAACAGCTGCTATACATTTCCTCCTCAAACTCT